CCCTGGATTCCCTGTGTTTCCAGTTCCTATCTGTACCAGTGTACATCCTCTGGTCTAGACAGATTTGTAAGGTAGAATTGAGATGATAATAGTGGGGGAGGGAGCATTTAAGAATTAGAGGAAAGTTGTATGTTTCATTGTTGCTACACTGAACCTTGACTCCATGTGTTTCCAGTTCCTATCTGTATCAGTGTACATCCTCTGGTCTAGCCAGATTTGTAAGGTAGAATTGGGATCATGATAGAGGGGGAGGGAGCATTTAGGAACTAGAGGAAAGTTGTATGTTTCATCATTGCTCTGAGTAGCATTTTTACTTAAGCATATTTTTCAAAAATATTTTTAATAGTAATGACTACATGGTAGTCATTATTTCTGTCATTCCATATGTCATAAGATCCCTAGGTAAGACAGACATTTTGCACTAACCTAAAGGTTGCTGGCTCTAACCCTACCCAGTGGCACCACAGGAAGAAGGTGTGGCAACTCTCTTCACTAACATTGCAGCCAAGAGAAGCTGAAGGAACATATGAGTTTGTCATGTGTTAAATTGATTTGATGACAAAGGTGTTTTTTATCTACTACCATTTAGGTTGTTTCCGTTATTGTAAGTAATACTATAGTAATCTTCCAGAATACAACCATGACTCCTTCAGTTTTCATTATATAAACCCAATTCAAATTATTTTTACCAAAAAATAAGAATTCATTACTTAAATAAAGTAGGCAGGTGCACCCTGGGGGGTCCAAACTGATGCTCTTTGAACCTTTGTTTTAGCTCCTATTTTTCTCTTCCCTTAGGATGAGCAGTATGCATGGCATGGGCTCTGCTGGGGTTCACATCCTGCATGTGACATTTACTCTCTGTTTGACCTTGGGCATTGCAAGGATTGTCTATTTAGTAGTGTATACACAGTTCTTAAAGCAGTGCCTGAGTTTTATCGAGAAAAATTGGGGAATAAACCAAACCTAAACCATTGCCATCAAGTCAATTCCCAACCTTAGAAAACACAGTAGGACTGCTCTGTAGAGTTTCCAAGACTAAATCTTTGGGAGAGCAGACAACATCAGCTTTCCTCCCAGCAAAGCAACCTAATGCTTAGCTCAGTATAATGCCAAGGCTCCTTAAATCTCAGAGTAGGCAATTCTAAATTCTGATCTTGTGACAAAAACATTGCAAAGCAACCAAACTTTCAAGAACTATTTCGTTAAAATGCTGAATTATGTACCGTGACCAAACAAATACTGAATCAAGAAATGTAAAAGAAGCAGAAAAGCTTTGTGTCATTTCTTCACATGCCCTTGCTCCAGCTCTTCCTTGGCCCAAGGGTAGTCAAGGAGTGCTGTGGCACAGAGCTGATCTGCAAAGTGAGAGATGTGCTTTTGGGGGTGGTACGTTTTTGCTGGTTTTGCAAGCTCATTGCATTCAGGGAACTTTCTGTCAAAACACTGAACAAATCCTGAGGCTTCAAATACCTTGAATAGCAATCTTTGAGGAAGAGAGAAAAGATGATTCCCAGAGACACTAAAATGTGTATTCAAATATGTAGTTTTCTACAATAAAAATAACTGTAAAGCCTACAAAGAAACAGAACAGTAGACTCATTTAAATATAAAAGTAAATGGAAAGATCATCCTTGTGGAGCCTATAGACTAAATCTGCTTTCATAAATATAGGAAATTATAGACAAAAACATAAAGGAAACCTGGAAAATAATGTAAAAGTAAAATGGAAATATCAATGAAGTATAAAATATTACCAATCTGAATATCTGGAGCTAAGAAATAGGGGAGAAATGCACTGGAGAGATTGCAAAGCAGATTTAGGCAGGCAGAAAAAAAGAATTAGTGATTTTGGACAATTGAAATTATTAAGGCTAAGGAGCAAGAGGAAGAAAAGTAAGAGGAATCCAAAGGACTTGTGAGATATTAAACACAGCCTGTGCATTAAGGGAGGCTCGGATGGAGAAGGAGAAAGTAATGGAAGAAAGAATATTTGAAGAAATAATGACCAACGTCTTCCCAAACTTGATGAATCTACAAGAAGCTCAATAAACCCCCAAGTAAAATCAACATAGAGAGATCCCCCACCGAGCCAAGAATCATGCAAGCAGCAGGACAGAAGCAGTTTGTCACACAAGGGGTTCTCCATAGGATTAAGCGCTGCTTTCTCAGCACAAGGCAGTGGGAGGACTAATGTGCTAAAGGGAAAAAAATCAAACATGAATCCTCTGTTCTGCAAAACAATCATCACAAATGAAGGGGAAATTAAGATATTCCAAAATAAACAAAAGGTACTTGGGTCACTGGTAAATGGCCCAATAGAAATGCTAAATTATTCTAAGTTTATGATGTTCACTGTAATCTGCGCGGTGGCTAAGAAAATCAAAATATACCAAAAAGAAGAAAATATCCCAAATCAGCTGTTAAAAAAAATACAAAGGCAGAATTTAGAAACATAAACCACAAAAAAATAGCTAAGTGGCAGAGTTCTTTAAGTTAATACTGTTAAAGGAAATTAAACTCTACTATTAAAAAGCAGAGATCGACAGGATGACTGTTAATGATCCATCTATATGCTGTGTACAAGGGATTTATATACAGAGGCACAAAGTAGTTAAAAGTAAAATTATGGGAAAGGGTATTGCTTGTACACAATTGTCAAAAGAGCTGGGATGAATATATTATTATCAAAGGTGATAGAGTTGTCAAAAAGCTTATAAGAGTCAAAGGAAGACTATATATTGATAAAAGGTTCAAACCATTAAGAAGACACACATTGTAGGGAATCAGGACCAGATGGCTTCACTGATGAATTCTAAACACTCAAAGAAAAATTAACACAAATCATTTAAACACTTCCAAAATATTGAAGTGGAGAGAACACTTCCTACACACTTAGCAACATAGCCCAAAATATATGAAGCAATATGTTGGCAGGATTGAAGGGAGATATAATACTTATATAATAACAGTAGGAGGTCTTACTATACATTTTCAATGATGGA